CTGACTGAGAAATATTAAACTTAACTTAACTACTTTTATTTTACCAGTTAAGACCCCCTGAGCTATGTAGCTCTTTTTCACAAGTGACCTGGCCATAAATGATAGCTCAACAAAAGTGGTGTATCACGTGGAATGTCTAACAGCCAAATACTCTAAACACGTGCTGATTCTAAATGTGGAGGGAAAAAATGGAAGACCCAGAGAAAAGTCCACGCGACCACGGGGAGAACATAAATATTTCAACTATACAGGTGTCAGGGTCAGGATCAAACCTACAAGCTCTCTCCATACGAGGCGAGGGAGTCAACGTCTCACCACTGCGGCATCCTGTGTGTCCAGGTTTGATCCGTGGATAATGTGGCAACCCAAGTGAAAAGTTAGAGATGGAGTGTCCATTTTGAACTCGCACTGCCCACGTCAATCAACATACCCTGTAAGAGAATGTCCCGTGGAATGAGTTATCATGGAACTACGTGAGAGTCTTTCGAGTGACCTCTTGTGCACACAAAGAGAGCAGTACTAATCCACCTGCTCTGCTACTAAGAGAAAATTTTGTTACGTGTCACAAATCTCGGAGCTAGATTTAGCCCAATTAAGTGAACACAAAGATATTGTGTGATGTGAAGTCGAAAAGAAAAGTATAGAAATCGCACCTGAGATTATAGAAATGCACAACATTTCCCGATGTTCATTGCAATTGTTTTTTTAAATTGTGTTATAATATCAACACAAATATTGCTTGATTGTGACAGATAAAATGTATTTTTGTAAAACAAGTCTTATTTTAATGATAAGTTATTAATTTTACGTGTGTGTGCAATTATATTTTTTAACAAGTCTAATGCTTCTTCACCCGGCGATTCGATGAGTTGTCATTATCTAGGTCCACGATTTAACTCGCTAATTATTATTTTAAATAAAATAAAAACTCCACGAGCGGCTGCAGGGGGTCTCACATGGATCCATGAAATTCAACGTACGGAAATCTTGAAACGTCAATTCCATGATTGAATGCATCGTGAGCCTACGAATATTATTATCAATGGATAAGTCAATGCACGGTTGCTTCTTTGGTAAAGAAGTCAATTGTTTGGTGAGCTGTGTATGATGAAATGTTTGCATCAAGTCTTCTTAGGTTTTTTTTATTATGCATGTTTCATTTAACCCTTAGGTTTTCGCCAACAAATGTATTCGTCATGATTTTTTAGTTTAAGCCACATAATGATCTGGCCTTTATCCAGCAGAAATGTGAGCAGATCATTACGTAGCCTAACCCAACAAGTTAAAGTATGAATTATATTTTGATTTAAAGCTTTCGTGACTGCAGGGATTCATAGTATTGGTTCTTTCGGTAAAGTCACGTAGAAGGGAAATAATAAAATAATAAAAATATACAACAATAAAAATTAATTGTTTCATATTTTTATTCTTTTATTATTTCCCTTCTACGTGACTTTACCGAAAGAAGCAAGCATATGAATTATATGTTTTACGTAGTTATAAATATTGTTCTAAATTGAGAGCAACATTCACTTCGTCTATGATTAAGAGGACACGTGATATGTATGAGTGTATGTAGGTAAAGACCTCTTGTCACTGCGGGGCTGGACAAAGGCCCTCCCCACGCCATATCAGTCATTGGGGTTGTTTGACTATACTTCACCAGAGGTCGCAACCGGGTACCCGATACCCGTACCCTACCCGATACCCGGCTACCCGTACCCGGCCGAGTACGGGTACCCGTTTGCGACCCTGGTGCGGCCGGGTACGGGTACGGGTAGGCCGTGAATCACTGGTGAGTAACCGTTTGTCACTCATTTCCCAACGTCTTGTCTCTTCTCACAATTCAAGTTCCTAGAATCAACCCACCCGCGCCTGCAACATGGCTTCATCCCAGAGGTCGCAATCAGGTACCCGTACCCTACCCGATACCCGGCCGGGTACGGGTAGCCAGGTATCGGGTAGGGTACGGGTACCCGATTGCGACCCTGGTGCGGCCGGGTACGGGTACGGGTAAGGAATCAAAACCCGTTTGCGACCTCTGTACTTCACCCAGGATATTAGCGATTCCGGGTGAGTGTCTCTTAACTCCTGAGCCACCCCTCGCTTTGTTTGATGCATCTCTAATAATGCCACGTGTGTTAAATACGGAACTCTTTATAATTACATTATCATGGCAACTCATACGAATATCGTATTTATTTATAAACACTTGAAGACAAAAAAATAAACGTTGGAAACATTGAACCTGACCGTTTTATTGACGTGTTGACGTTTCAAGTGTCGTAATCAATCGGCCTTGATCAACCCACTGCTGGATGATGTGTCCTCGACAAGCCAATCACCATCTCGATGTAACAATCCACCCGGCGTCCTGCACCCGAGCTGATTCCATGGCTCCATCTCATACAGCATCTGATTTGCACCGTCCTTGCTATACAGAGGGTCCGTGCCTATGCCATGTTGTATTGGTTCAATCAAAGCGTGCTCCAGCTGCTGATGCGACATTGAATGTTAAAACCGGTCCAGTTTTGCTTGTGTTGAACCAATGCTGCTGAAATTAGGCACTTTCAGAAGGCAGTGTGGCGGGTCAACCCCCTATCAGTGTCAACCTGATTACAGACCAATTAAGACCTTATTGGTCACTCCGTGCCCTTAGAAATCTCAACGTTCATCCTACAAAGTCCCATCACAAGGGGAGAAACACAAATAATGTTTTTGCACGTATTGAAACGGCCGTACGCCGTATAGACCTGAAAACTCAATTTCATTTTACAAGAATACGGAGCAAACCGTATGGGTTGACAGTCATGCGGATGGGATGTGTAAAAAAAAAACTTGTACATTATTATATTTATGTAGAGGGACAGATGTAACACATTCCTGCGCAGGGAGCTGGTAGGAACGTTGGGTTGCTCGGTCAATGACCAGGGTCAACGGCGGCGTGGTGTATTCCGCAAATATGCCCGACTGTGAGGGCGGGCACAAGCCGGCGTGAGCAGGTTAAACGTTGAGTTTTATAAGGGCACCACGGGGTGACCAGCCCCTCCCCACCCAGCCCCACCCAGCCCCACCCTCCCCACCCAGCCCCTCCCCACCCTCTCCACCCAGCCCCTCCCCACCCAGCCCCTCCCCACCCTCCCCGCCCAGCCCCACCCTCCTCACCCAGCCCCTCCCTGCACGACGGACACAATAATCCCCTGTGGGCTGGTGTAACCAGGAGGTTCCTACCAGTATAAACTAAACTCTTTATTTTATTAGGTAAGGCCCACTGAGCTATATAGCTCTTTTTCAGAAGCCACCTGGCAATCACGAATAATAGCTCAAAGAAGTTGGCTTATCTTATGGAAAATGATAGTAGTTGCCAAACACTCCACACGCGTGACGTTGATTCCAAATGTGGAGGGGGGAAACCGGAGGACCCGGAGAAAAATTCACGAGACCACGGGGAGAGAGACACGCAAACTCCCAATATACAGCAGGCGTCAGGGTCAGGATCTAACCCATGACCTCCTGTATACCAGGCGAGGTAGTTAACATCTCTGAGTCACCGTTGCCTTTATTCTGTAGAGCAGTACCGGATTATCCGTGTAACAAAAGTAGCTACATACGTAGTAGCTACGGGCCCCGCACTTTCAAGGGCCCCGCGCTAAATGCTTTCAAGATATCAATTCCGGTTCAGTGATTCTGCACTTGCTCTATTACTATAGTACTATACCGCCTTCAACTTTTATGAACGACTGGGTGTTTTAGGTTAGCGATTTGTCGTATTATCCGGCTGTATAGCAAATGAAAAAATACAATTACTTTACTATGCAAGTAAAAAATGTGTGTTTTAATATTTGTGTTTTTTTTATTTAGGGCCCCTTTATAACATACTACGGGCCCCGCGCTAGCTTAATCCGGCACTGCTGTAGAGTTGACGTTGCTCCTAAGTCGTGCCTATTACCGCACTCCTCTTGAATTGAGGCTCGACTCAGGAATGAGTCACGAAGTGTACCTTGCTAAGGGGTCGTCCATAAATGACGTCACGCACCTAGGGGGGTGGGAGGGGGGTCAGACATTTGTGACGATGTGTGACGAGGGAGGGGGGTTTGAGAAATGTGACGTCACATCAAAATGCGCAACTTTAAATAAATATAGACAACACGTTCTACTTAATTAAATATACTTTTTAATAAAAGTTTTCTCCTACAACATCAGTGTAGCGCCACATTAAATACGCACTAAAATGACAATACGTGTAGTTTAAAGCGATTTGAAGCATGTTTTATTTGGGGGGGGGGGGAGCTTTGTGACGTCATATTTGAGGGGGGGGTCTGACTTTTTGTGACGCCGTGTGACGTCATTTATGGACGGCCCCTTACCCGTAATGCAACGTGCCAGCACCATTATTTGGGTCCGATTACAAATCAGTTTATGTTGCAATAGAGTAGAGTTTTGATTATTGAAGGATGTATCTGTGATTCAATATCTGCTGTTAGGTAACTATTCATATGCCAATTAAAACGTAAAAAACAGATATTTTATTTGTTCAAATGTAATTCTTATTAGGGCCCCATGGTTTAACGTGCAGTATCCAACTCGCATTTGCCATTCTATCTATGCGGCCTCTCTATTTATGTGCCATGAAGAAGGGACGTTGCCCGAAACGTCGCTTATTCATTATTTATTTATTTTCTTAACGGGCCGCGTCGCCTTGGTAACGAGAGGCCTCCGACCCAAGCTCGCGAACGCCATTTCGCGATTCTCCCCGTGCACATTCGAACGACACGAAAGTATAAAAAATAATTTATATTAAAACAACATTAGTGTTGCCTCTCAAGGCCGATATCATAACTCATTAAGGCGATGTTAACATTTTTTTAATTGCATCAGTTCATAATGTTGCTTGCTGTGTAACTCGGCCGTTCGCTTTTATCGCGAATGAGGCGTTCGCAAACCCGCGGATGGTATAAAGCTGCGTCGTGTCGGCGTGGTGGGTGGTGAAACCTCGCTCGCGGATTTAAAGGTTTAAACTTAATACTTTTCAAGTTTTACACGTAGTACGACTTTCGCGATCACTATTATTCACAATAAAGGTTTTTGGGTTAGTATAAACGTGCCGTAACCCTCCACCACTCGAAACCCAGTAAGGTTTGTCACGTAAACCAAAGTTCATCTGTGTGTCTATGTGTGTGTCTCTCTGTGTGTCTCTGTGTTGTTTATCTCTCTGCTTATGTGTCTGTCTGTGTGTCTCCGTGTCTGTGTCTTGCCTCTCTCTCAAATGTCACGCTTAACTTCTAATTTAGCAATCTTTGGAAGAACGTAATCAACCAGGCTATGCGTTAATTGTGTGTTGACCGACTCTCTGTGTTGCATTGCATTACATTTCAAAATTTTACTAATTTTTGTTTTGTTAAGTTTAGTTTCTCTCTCTCTGTGTCTCTGTGTTGTCCCTCTAGTAATTCCTGCAGTCACGAAAGCTCAAAATCTCTAATTGACATGCTCATTTCTCTACCCCCCCTCTCTCTCTCTGTCCCCCTCTCTATTTGTGTGTCTCTCTCTGTTGTCTTTCTGCTTGTGTGTCTATGCTGTGTGTCTCTCTCTGTGTTGTCTCTCTGTTTGTTTCTTTGTCTGTGTGTCTCCGTGTCTGTGTGGTCTCTCTCTCAAATTTGGCACTTTGGAAGAACGTTAATCAACCAGGTAGGGTGTTGACTGTTATGTTAGCCGACTCTGTTGTATTGCATATTTCTAAGTTTACTAGGTTAGTTTTTTCTCATTCATTCGTACCTGATGATGATTACTTGTTTTGCAATCGAAACGTCGTATTCTATTATTTTATTTATTTTCTTTCTACATGATTTTACCAAAAGAACCAAAAGGTAATCGGTTACTAGTATAGTGCATAGTGTGTGGTGTAGTGTATAGTGTAGTATACTACTTCAGCCCACCGGTGTGTTGGAGAGTAAAACATCGTGTGGATTTACTCTCCAACACACCGGTGGACTGAAGTAGTATATAGTACTGTACGAGCTTTTTTGCCCGTCCAAGGACGGGTGTATTGCAGTAAATCTGAAACTTGCAAGAGAAAAGCAGACCACCACGTGATATTCATTGCATTCATTCGTGTGCAATTTATAAGGCCGCGGTGACTCGGACTTATTTCATTTAAAGGTTATAATCCCTTGTTCATCATGACGTCCTTTTTACTTTGATGTCTCAACAGCGTTACGGAGATCGTGTGACGTGAGGGTTCTGCCTTTGTAGTGAGGGTTGTAAGTTGACGCTGAAGAGGGGGGATGAGGCGCCTTGGCCCCCCATGTGGAGTGACGTCAGCCGCTAATTATGAATTGGGGGGGGGGTGTCCATTTGGAGGACGTCACCTGTTCATGATTTTTAATGGGGGAGTTCTCCATGCGGAGTGACGTCAACCACTCATGATTATTAATGAAGGGGGTGGTCCGTGTGGAGGACGTAACCTGTTCATGATTATTAATGAGGGAGGCTGGTCGACGTGGAGTGACGTCACGAGCGCTGCACACAGACATTCTTGGCTCATTATAGTCGGTAATAATAGGGGAGGTGTCCATTTGGAGGACGTCACCTGCTCATGATTATTAATGAAGGGGGGAGTTCATATTGAGTGATGTCACCCGCTCATGATTATTAATGAAGGGGGTGGTCCATGTGGAGGACGTAACCTGTTCATGATTATTAATGAGGGGGGCTGGTCGACATGGAGTGACGTCTCGCGCGTTACACACTGACATTCTTTGGTAACTATAGTCATAAATATACGTTTCTATTTGAAGGTCACACGCAGTGTTATAGACGAATATGTTTAAGTTTGTTTATGTTAACTGTGCTTGTGAACCGTTGCCAACATAGCATTACCGAAATGCTTGGTTCACTCTTTAATATAATTAACTACTGAACGACGTCTTTAGAGCGCTGCAAAAAGTCATTTTAAAGTCTTTAAAACGTCATGAAACCATTCACCTTCTGTTGGAGACATCTCGGGACGCGTCGTCTTTGGGTGTAGCTTACAAGATAATATTAACCTTATATTCCCGTAACTTTTATTGCGGTATAATTGCAGTAAAATATAAAAGCAATAACCACGCAGTGGTATGTTCAGCTACAGTATTCTCGGAAAGTTCATACAAAGTAAAGGTACTCCAGTTATTGTTCGCGTTGGCGTCTTTAAATACGAGTCGTGTTTAAGCTTTTAACCCTGTTTTACATTTAAATATAGAATGCGAAGGGTCTAATTTGTAATATAGCGGTGTATGTACATATATGAAATTAGCGACTTCCGCGACACGTCGTGTAGAGCAGCGGTCCCCAACCTTTTGGCACCAGGGACCGGTTTCGTGGAAGACAATTTTTTCAAAGAAGCTCTCCAGCGACGTTTGTTTTTTACTCGTCTTGGCTAGGGTTAGCTTGTGGACTTACCAAAACTGTGACTGAGACAAGTGCGCAGTGCGGGAAAGAGGCAAAAAAGTGGTAAATAAAAGAATGGGCGGGCCACGCGCGGACTCGCCGCTCACCTCCTGCTGTGCGGCCCGGTTCCTAACAGGCCGCGGATCAGTACCGGTCCACGGCCCAGGGGTTGGGGACCTCTGGTGTAGAGGGTACTTCTTTATAACTCACACTGGGCACAACACAGGCCAACACTTGTTCTTCCTCACACTGAGTATAACTCTAGGTATTAACACCTCTACTGGCTACACACACAGCCGATCACTCGACATGGTCCCCTCACCCTCACTCGGCCACGCCGCTGGCTGGCGGCATGACGATGACCGCCATAGAAACCACGCAGGAGATCTTCCACGTGACCGGACGACGGAGAGAGATGTCGGCGAGCAGCGACGCACCCAGGACCCCACACACGAGCCCCGAGCCCTGGTTCCACTCCCCCTTATATTTCTCCAGGCGTGGCTAGGCCCCGCCTCCGGCCACGCCATCTCGTGGAATCTTCGACCAGGTTCCCGGAGTATCTTGGCTAACCCCACCTGTTACCCTTGCCCCAGATACACCTCCTTCTCCGATTGGTTGGTACTTAACCGTGCCCCTACCCGTGAATCCCTTTCCGGCCAGCAGGTGTCACCTGTCATTGCACATGTACAACGGCTCTTTTTTGTCAATTCACTGCTGTATTAGGGCCTCCACACAGCGCGCGGGGGTTGTTTGACCATACTTTATGCTGGTCAGTGCGGGATTGAAGGCAGGGAGTATAGACGCGGGAGGATAGAAGCAAAGTACTTTCCAACAGTGATTTTACTTCTGTATTGCCCCTCTGCTGCATTTTCGCCAGCAGGATCATGAGCAAGCAATTTGCACCAGCTTTACCTGTAGAGTAACACTGCACTGTGTATATATACAGTATTGCAATGTTTACACTTTTTAACCTGGGAAAGCTACACTCAGTCTCAAGGTTCTTTTTCAAAAGGATACTGCTAAGTTTTCGAAGTAGTGGTAATTTTTAAGCATTGGAATGTTTGGCCAACACCGTTTACATTGTTTTGGGTTTTTTTTTTTATAGCTGTGGGAGGAAACTCGAGAACCCAGAGGAAAGCCAGAGAGAACATACAAACTCCACGCAGAAAGATACCCAGGTCGGGAATTTAACCCATATTCTTCTTGCTTAGATGTTTTTTCCAACTTTGCCATTCTGCCACGATAAAATTTACTCGTTGAAATACTGGTAATAACGCATGTGCTTTGTTGTGTCACGTTGTTAGACTGTGTATCGGCGGGCACAACCATGATCCAACGGGGGCTGCCGGGCGGGCGTGGATGGCCCGGAGCGGATCTGAGTGATGCTTCGTTTTCTGACGAGAGCACAGGTCTCCCCTTCAGGACTACAAGGTGACATCGACGCGTCCAGATGAACTACACCTCGCCGGGTTGGCAGTGTGAAACTGGGTGTCACTTTTTAACAATACAACAATATTTGGTTTTAGAAAACGGTTCTGTTGAAATTGAATGAAATGCAGAGACATGTGTGTACAGCCCTTGTGTCAATACACGTCTGGATGAGGGTCCCCCCCCCCCAAAACCGTGTGGGTCCATGAGGGTTCTTTCACCATATTTCTTCAGGTCAACAAGTGCAGGTTGGTGAAGGTGAGTAGCATCGGTGTTGCATCATAGTACGGGACGACAATAGGTTTTGGTGCACCGCTGAAAACAGCCCTGTGTGAGATGTGTACGTCAAGATAATTTAAAGCGGTTTTATTTTCGTTAGGCGAGGGAACCCAGGGTGCGACAGGGTAGAGAAGAAATGAAGTTGATGGTGTGATAAAGGTGCATATGATCAGTTTTTAGAGTGACAGTCCCAGGCAGAGTAAAAAAGGAAAGTTTTTGAACCTATACTTAGATCATCAATATTGTCAGCCATAGGCATCCACAGCTGGGTGAAGGACTTGAATAGGGGAAGTTAATTAGGTGTGGTTTGATTTACCGACACAGGCGATGTTTCCGAGCGGACTGTCAAAGCAAATGGAAACAAAAGGTTGAAGAGTTCACAGTGAATTCTGGTATCACATTGAGATCGATAGAATAACACTTGGATTAGAGAACAGGTTGGAGACATAATTTTGCTAGTTAAGAAATCTTCGTGAGGTTTGGGCAGGACATGTCACCTGACAGTATCATGGCCAACGGTTAAGACTAATAATGAGAGTGGTAGCCAACGGAGGGAGCGTGTCCGAGCATATGCCCACTGTGGAAATGGAGCAATGAAATCGGCTTGTGTGTAGCTGCTAGTGTGGATTGTTACATCGTAGGCCCGTGGTAATGGCTGGGGAAGGCCTTCACCAATGGATAGACCATGGCTAATGATGATGATGAAATAGGATACTTTTCAGCAGTTAATTAGAAATGTGAATAAGGCATTGGATAAAGGTCTCAGCAGCAGCGGCAGATGAGGCAATGAAGTTTATTTGGGACACGTCGCTTGTTTGTGGAGGAGCAGGTTGGCGCCAGAGCGAGGTGTGCCGGGACCCAGGGGGAGTGTGGGGAGTGGGCTGGGCATGGTGGGGCCCATGTTTACGCCTCAGTGGGGCCCAAGTCCACTCCCTGGCCATGCCTCACCCACGGCGACTCGCTTCCTCAAGAAAAAGCCTCAGGTGACCCAGCAAGTGCATTTGTACAGCTCTGGTGTATACGTAGAAGAATAGGTTTTACCCTTTTTGGCAATAAAAAAAACAGGTGTTAAAATGCTAAAACACCAATCGGAAACCTTTTTGCAAGGAATCATGTCTGCATGATCCTTGTGGTGAACATGCAAACAAAAACATGCTCTGGTAGTATATGCATTGTCTTTGAAACTGATTGGTCCACACCAGAGACAGCTTTATTTCGAGCCTCCTCTCAAACAGTGAACACTATATGTGGTTAATGCGGACATGATTCCTTGCAAAAAGGTTTCTATTTGGTGTTTTAACATCTTAACACCTGTTTTTTTATTGCCAGAAATGGTAAAACCTATTCTTATATTTTGATATTGGCAAGGGAGGTTCCATGATGCAGGTGTGTATGGTTTGCAGATACTGTACTACAGATTCACACTACTATACAATCACATGCCTCATTTTGACCAAGTGAGCATAAAACTCACACCACTAGAGAGACGCTGTAAATTCAGAAGCTTCACATTGCCGTAGAGTGTGCAGATTAACACCACCGCAGATGTTATAGATTGACATCGCTTTAACTTAGACTGGATTCACACCACAATAATAGGTGCGATAGATTCGCACAGTGACACTCTAAATGCACCTCGTGCAAAAAAGAATACATTTATGAATTTAATGATGATCCTTAATCAAAGGAATGAATTGTTACATAATCAGCTATGATCGATAATCTACCCACTGCTGGCAGAAGTGCCTCCTCTAGAGAGGCCATCTAATGGGTATTTAGCCTATTCTTTCATGCTTGCCAAATGCTGTGGAAAGGTGGGAGCACCCAGATTTTACCCCACCAAATGCGACCTGCCAATCAACTAACTGTTGCATCTAACTACTGGGTGAAGAGATGCAGGGTTTGGTGCGTGGGAGTTCGAATCGATCCAGCAACCTCTATATTGCAAGTCGATTGTGCTGACCATTACGTCATGGCAGCCCCCATTCTCTTCTCATTTCAAAGAAAGGATAAACATGTTATGTTCATGGCTAGACATTTCTGTATGCGGTTTCCAGCAATGAAAAAAAATCCTATTCGAGCAACTCTAATAGAAACATGCAAACACACCCAAGAAAGGATGCATACTTTAGGAAGGATCCATACGCTCTCATTCTAACACGCGTGCCATAATCGCCCGAGTACTTGGTATAACATAAAAAAAAATAAACACTAATTTTAAAAAAAGTAAGCATCATATCGAGTAACAATCCCTTCGTGCCCCTCGTGTTTCAGACGGACGTCCATGTGGGCACCAGCGTGGCCAGGACGTCTGCGTCGTCGGCAGCGGCGCTGCAGCGCCTGTCTCAGTTCGAGGAGAAGCTGAAGGCGCGGGTGACGGGGCCCACGGCGGTGCCGGGCGGGCGACGCCAGCCCTCGGCCTCCTCTTCGCCGGGGGCAGCACCCTCCACCGTGGAGCGCTCCATGAGCATGCCGGGCGACGAACTCAGCGGCAATGGCAGCCGATTCCTCAAAAAGAAGAAGACGACGACGATGATGACATCTACGCCGGCAGAATCATTGGAGGATACAGGTGCCTCAATGAATATCGAGTCGACTCTCGATCACCTGAGTAATGGGCGTAGAGGGGCGACCCAAATAAAACTACAACCGAGGTATGCACAACACATATACAGTAAAACCGGTGATTGCGAGTAACTTTGCGACTGTTTTGCAAGACGAGCAAATTTTTTTAACAAATATTAATTTGATAAACGAGCGAGGTCTTGCAATACGAGTAGCACGTGTCTACGCTTTGTCTGCCGAGCGTCACCTGATCACAACTGATATACGAGTTCTAGATTTGAAGCTTTCGTGACTGCAAGGATTCATACTCTTAGGTTTTTCGGTAAAGTCACGTAGGTAAGAAATAAATAATAATAAAATAATAGAAATAATAATATTTCTATTATTATTTCTATTATTTTTTCTTTTTTAACTACGTGACTTTACCGAAAAACCTAAGAGTATGATATACGAGTGCTTTGATATACGAGTGCTTTGGATTACAAACACGTTTTCGGAACGAATTATGCTCGCAATCAAAGGTTTTACTGTATATAAAACTAGGTTATGCAAATGTATCTATTGGTTACCTACATAGGTAATTAACAAAGCATATACATTATAATTTTATTGTGTAAAGGCCCATAGACTTATACATAAAGACTCTTATACTTTTGTAGAAACCAGAGATTCACTTGGACACCCAAAGACTTAAATAGAGATTCATAGACTTCGTAGCCCTGACTATGACTGCTTCTCTCTAAAATATAAACATTCCCACTTTCTTTCCAGCGCTCTTTATATTAAGTTCACTTGTTTGCTTGCTTGCGCGCTTACGACCGTGCAAATCTTTCGGTCGTTTTTTAACCCACTTCCCATGATCCAATCGAGCTGACATTTTGCATACAGACTCGTTGTGCGTGACAATTTATTTTCGTGAAAATTTTTTTCCAAAATTTTCCACTTTTTAGGAAAAAAAACATTTCATATTTAATTTAAAATACCAATGTGATAAAAATGAAACTCTTACTCAAGAAAAACAGAAATGAATAATAAAATAAAACCGATGCCACGCATATAAAGGATTTATAGTGAAAAACTTTGTTTTTACGGGTTACTTTTTTGCAATTGTATTGCATCGTGTATGCAGATCCTCCAAGGCCCTCGGCGTCGGCTGCCCCTCGCGAGGATGCATCGCGCAACCGTGACGCAGCCCGGACGGGCGGTTCTGGGGCCAGGACTCGGACGCCTGTGGGGGCTGTGGACAGCGACGAGGAGGAGATGCGGCGACTCTTGGGCAGCTCGTTTGAGAGCCACGACTCTGAGCGGAAGCACGCGCGGAGCCCGCAGACTCCCACCAACCGCAACCGGGTACGAGCACTTAAAAACTCATCTTCTTGGTTCTTTCGGTAAAGTCACGTAGAAGGGAAGTGATAAAATAATACAAATAAAACATAATAAAATAATTCTCACGACGTTTCGACCACAACGCAAGCAGCCGTCCTCAGGTGAAGACCAGGTCTGTCGGGGAGACAGCGTCTGAAGACCTGGTCTTCACCTGAGGACGGCTGCTTGTGTTGTGGCCGAAACGTCGTAAGAATTATTTTATTATGTTTTATTTTTATTATTTTATTACTTCCCTTCTACGTGACTTTACCGAAAGAACCAAGAAGATGAATCCTGACAGTCACGAAAGCTTTAAATCGAGACACTTAAAAACTATCAAAAAAGTATTATTTTTTTCCAGGTAAGGTCAACTGAGCTGTACACCTCTTTTCAGAAGTGACCTGGTCACTAATGATGGCTCAACGAAGTGGCTCATCGTGTAGAAATTATATAGGAGCCAAATAAAATACTCGAAACGCGTGTTTCTAAATATGGTGGTAAAAACCGGAGGACCTGGAGAAAAATCCACGTGACACCAGGGAGAACTATATGCCAGGCGAGGAAGTTAACATCTCACCACCATGGCGTCCCTTGAGGAGGGCTCTTCAGATTTTATTTAACATCCTTTATTTTACAAGGAGATTAAATAAACCCATTGAGGCACATTAAACAGTGGGTTACGTCAAGAAGATCGAGATGAGAGAGCTGTCGGCAAGAGATGCAGGTTAGTGAGCTGAAACAAAGATAAACAATAGAGACGTAGAATGTGCCGTCTGTTTTTACTCTTTTGTAAAGTAGTCGGTTTCCGTGCCAACTTGTTTGCTGTCGTATGGGCACTGAATAGCTGATCCCTGGTAAGTGAGGAACAGCTTATGATCTAACCAGTGCACATGTAAGGCTGTTGATTTATATTCGTGCAAGCTCGGTTAATCCTCAACCCGGATAATTCGTCCACAGATAAATGACAGTTACTCGTATACATATTCTCGTCTCTCTCTGTGTAAGTAATTTGTAGTTTTTGTTGCTATTTTTAAGTTTTTAAAGATGCGCGAAGCGGCTTCGACGGAGCCGCCTGGCGGTAGTGCCCCTCGCCTCCCACCGTCGTCGCCGGAGATGGGGAGAGCCAAGCGATCCCCGGTCCACGAAGACCGCACCACGAGATCGCCTAGCGTGATGAGGAGAGGCACGGTCAATCGATCGCCTTCTCCCTCGTCCATACGGAGTGAGGTGAACTCTGATGACGAGCGATTCTCGGACGCATCGGTGGCCCCGAGTCGACGGGATGACGTTTCATCGGCTTCGACCTCTGACGGTATGAGGATAGATGGTTAATTAATGGAGGCTGAGGATGGTGTGGTGGCGCAGTGGTTGGCACACTGCGCTATGAACCTGGCGATCCGAGTTCAGTTTCTAGCCATGACTAACACCAGTAGCGAGCGACATCAATCTGTCCTGGGCCACTGCTTCAAAAACTCATCACCATCCAATGTGGGGAAGTATGGTCAAACCATTTCCATGACCGGCATGGCGTGGGGAAGCCTTTACTTAGCAGTGTCAAAGGGCTGTTTATTATGATTTGCTTTTTATTAGACCCATTGCATATCTAACGTTTATAGGTGAGAGAACACATGGTGGGGCACGATCTGTGGGTTGTGTCCTCTGGGCTTGTGATTCTCCCTGTTGGGTCTATATTATGATTCTAGATTTGAAGCTTTCGTGACTGCAATGATTCATACTCTTACGTTTTTTCGGTAAAGTCACGTAGGTAAAAAAATAATAATAGATGAAAATAACTCAATTAAATCACGACGTTTCGGAGGCAACACAAGTCTCCGTCTTCAGGTGGGACCGTCACAGCCAAATTTACTGGCTGTGATGGTCCCACTTGAAGACATGTGACTTTACCGAAAAAATCTATATTATGATATTAATGAATGTTTCTGCACGGATATTCACCAGTCCTATTATTTTACGTACTGGGCTGCCAATTTTTAAACACATACGTGATTTCCAAAGCTGTTCATGCCACTTAATAAATGTTGCAGAAGATATGTTTTTTAACGCAATATTTGTTTAGAAAATTGCTATCCTCTTAAAAGGTTTAATAATTGGCAGCCTACCACGTAAATCGGCATGATTGGTTAGTATGTGGGGTGTTGGGATAAGGATATGATTGGGCTTTGGTTAAGACTGAGGTTAGGGCTTTAGTTAGTGCTAAGGCTATTGCTGGGGATAGGGCAAATGCTCGAGCTTGCACCGGGACTGGGAAAATGTTGGAACTTGGGCTACTATTAATACATGGGTTAGAGGTGCAATTTATGACTCCGAGGCAGGTTGCTGTTAGGGGCTCACGCCATGTTTATTTAAGGGCTTACGCCAAGTTAATCAGGGCTTACGCCAGGTTGATAAGGCTTACGCCGAACCAGCACCCCCCTACACCATTGGAACCTCATTTGCCAGTAAAAAATATCATTGTTTTTTTACCCTTTTATCTGGCAACAAAACTTACACCTTTTTTACAAGGAGTCATGTTTGCATAGACCACAAAAAGCACCCCCCTAGCCAATAACTCCCCAGGGGACAGGGTACTGGGATCCCTACACCCCGGTTAACTCGCCCCTCCACCCTGCCTCGGCCCGGGACCACCCCCAACCTCGGCCGGTCGGGCGGAGTAGCCTCCCCTAGCCTCGTGTGAGGACCAACTACCCGAGTCCCCACTTCTACCCCCGACGACCCCCGGTTTCATCCCGGGTCCCCCTTTAAATACCCCCCTGGGGGCATGACGTCACCATCCTCCACGGCCCGCCTGACGTCACGTCCCGCGACACCACTCTCTCTGAGGGCGCGCGTGACATGATGTCACCCACTACACCTCTACACATGTGTAGTGGGTTCACAAGCGACAGAGACGGTGTAGTCAAGGCACACTATTTATTATAGCTTACAGGGTAACAATGGAAGGGGTAATGGCCCCTTCACACGTACTGGACTGAGATACACCCCTAGGCTATCTGCCTAACTGGTTAGAGGCGATGCTGGAAATGTGGCTGGTTTCGTTGCTCGTGTTGGGCACGTGTGACATTTTCCATGTCCTGATCAGATGCCACATTCACAAGGCGGCCTGGTGGCTCAGGGTTCAGAGAGAGACTGGGCCACCTCTGCTGATAATCCTGGGTTCAAATCCGAATAGCCACCTGTGATTAAACCAGGTTCTCTAGTGTAGTAAGTTGATGGTCTCAGCTTGCTCACTGTTGACTTGCATCGAGACCCATATACTCACATAGACTGAGTTGTGATTAAATTGGGTTGTCAAGTGTACGGAGTTGGTGATGTCAACCTCGTCACCAGTGACTATCATCGTTGTGTTTTTAGATTTCAAGATGAACCTGATGACCGTGGACGACCTCCTGCCTGCCCTTCCTATCAGTGATCCACCGCCAATTAAGCACGGCCACGAGAGATCCGCGCTTAGCTCCGACGTGCGACAGCCGAAGGCTCGCCACCTATCCGACAAGCCATCCGCGGGCACGAGAAATCTACGAACGCCCTCTCCGCGCGCAAGGATGAGCAGCGAGAACGGCAGCATAGAGAAGAGCAGCGAGATCGCTACCATGTCGGAGGTGAGCGACGTGTCCGAACGGCTGGAGGTGGCCTCCATCAGAGATGGCGGCGGCGACTACTCCTCCGCCTCGTCTTTGTCGCACGGCAGAATCGGGAGCCACGGAGGGAAATCCTCGCGCTCCGTGAGCCCCGTCGACAGTGACAGCGCCGCCTCCAACTACTCGGAGGACTTTGAGGAAGACGACGATTCGCGTGACGCTGGCGCGAGGACACCGTCCCACTCAACAGAGTCGTCCACGCGCTCCCAGAGCCTGACCTCCAGAAGGAGCTCACCGCGGCCCGGGGCTAGGAGGGAATCGTCGAGGCTGCGAACGCGTGGACTGACCGATTCGGTGCGAAGAGATGTGAAGAGGCGAGGGAAGAATGCGTCAGTGCAGACTGTGCCTGGCCTTAGCTATGCGTGGGTGCAAGGTGAGTGCGGTGTTTCAATGGACAGAAGCGCTATTATGCCAGTGGGAGTGGGGTGTGTGCGCATTGGTGGTGCACTCCTGTAATCCAGTGCTTTGGAGGCAAGGTTTGGAAGATAGAGATGTGGCAGTAGAGCAAGTAGGTTTGTGCACCTGTGCATACATGCATGCAGACCTGCACGTGTTCTCTTTACAGGTGTAGGGTTTTTTTTCTGTCTTGCGCTACGGTAAGTGGTGAGTGATATTTGAACTAGTCCTGAATGCCTTTATCAATCTGCACGAACTAGCGTGGTGAAATATTGTCCCAGGATCCCTATGACCAACACAGCATCTGGAGTCCTTTATCCGGTGGTGAATTAACAAAGGGTTGTAAATACACGCCACATTAATCAAATATTGAGGCACAGTATGAGGTATTATTATACCATAAACACATATAGAGCCTGACGTGTGAAAAGTTGCCCTGTTTTACAATATTTGAGAAAGTAAAAAAACAACTTTTGTCAATCCACTGCTGAATGAAGGCTTCCCCATGCCATGTAAGTCGTGGACGTTTTTTTATCCATATTTCATCATGCAGGATGATCAAGGAGGGAGCTCTAAGGACCGGTTCAGATTTCACTTTGCCACTGATGTTAGCCATAGCCGAGAATTGAACTGGGGCCACTGGGTTCATTGCGCAGTGTGCTAACCACTGTGCCACCGTTCCACCTTGGCATTATTACTATTATTCTACTGTAATTAAATACGTGTATGACTTAACACGTGAAATTCTTCCCTGTTTAAATTGCTCGGAACCAATTGCTGTAAAGTTGTTCTGTATTTTTGCTTTTCCTGAGCATGCTGAGCGTGCTTTTTGTTCAATGTATCCTGTTCCTGGTTGCGCTTCACTGCACTGGCGAATAATTTGATGGACCTTGCGGTTCACAGATGCTGCGCTCGCAGCAGAGAACGCTGGGAAATACGCGGCCCCAATGCCCATCGCCTCTCACTTCATCAGCGGGGAAACGCTGGAAGGTATGGTCAAGTACAATCAGAGCACATGGTAAAACTTCTCGAAGCCGGACTCCTATAAGGTGGAATTTGGGGTAAGCCAGAATTTTGGGTAAGTCAGGAAGGCAATCTGAAAATAAAGAAAAAATATATTAGATAAATTCTAGATTTGAAGCTTTCGTGACTGCAAGGATTCATATTCTTAGGTTTTTTCGGTAAAGTCACGTAGGTAAAACATTTTAATTAATAAAAGTAAAATAAAATAAAAATCACGACGTTTCGGAGGCAACACAAGCTTCCGTCTTCAGGTGGAACTTGATACAGCTGTCGTGGCTGTGACGGTTCCACCTGAAGACGGAAGCTTGTGTTGCCTCCGAAACGTCGTGATTTTTATTTTATTTTACTTTTATTAATTTTAATTTTTTACCTACGTGACTTTACCGAAAAAACATTAGATAAAGTTTTGCTGGCTGGCTAGCTGATGTGCGGGCAGGCAAGTGTGCAGTGGTGACGTCTCTGTGCACATCTGCGTGCTCCCGTCACCCACATCCCACAGTGTTGAACCGAATTTGTGTGTCATGCTGACGTTACACCTCCCCTCCCCCCCTCGCTTAGTGAAGTCTCCGACAAGTATTCCCTCAATCTCAACTTTCAGCAATATCCCTGAGCTCTCCCTCAGGGCCCTCTCTTATCCTCCCGGCGTGGCCTTGATCCGCCTTCACCACGCCCCCCTTCTGGAACCTATTCGCAGGTTCCCTGGGCTTCCAGATGCCCTCCCCCCCCCCCCCATGAACTTTGCCTCGATGTTTTATCCCCCGTATATATACTCTCGTCTGTTGACGTGTGTACTGCCGGATCTTGTAGTTGCACTTTGTAGACAGCAGCCAGCGCTATTGCACTACACTAGTACAGCACACAGGTGTGTTGGAGAGCAAATCCACAACATTTACAATCTTGAGTACGACATTTCACCAGTAATTACAACTAGCTTCATCGGGTGACAGCCAGATTTGTGGAGAAATCCTGTTTCATTCCTTAAATAGAGGGATAGATGTGATGATGTCACTTGTGAGCCCTTCACGTGCGAAGTGGGGGGGGGGGGGGGAATTAATGAATGCATATAAAATACAATGGGTATCCATTGCCGTTCGGGCACATACTAATCCAGATACAAAACTCAAATAAGGAATACAATTTCTATAATTGGTAGTTAGAAACGCGAGTTCCAAGTTCCTCGCAGGAGCGGACAGGGTAACGATGCGACGTGCTCCCGTACCCAACAGCGGACCGCAGAGGGCTGCGTCGCTTCTCCTTGAAAAGTTTCGGTTTATCTTTCGCGTGGAAATATTGTTCAGGCAGACTGTTTCTTAATCAAAACGTTTCCGAGATTAAGGAGGCAGAAGCGAGGTTAGCCCTCTGCGGTCCATTGTTGAGTAGGTGGGGGGGGGTGTGTGCACGTGGTATTGTTTTTTCCGAACTCAACGACTCCCTGTCCACGGCCAATTAGCAAGCGGGTTGCAGGGGATACACTTGGAGAGGCGCATGAGTCACTTGCGGAGTCTTGAGACAGCCCAGTGCGCGCACCGCGCCATCTTCGCACTGCCCGCTCAATCCTTGCAGCTGTGAGAACCGCACCCCGTGCTTTCTGAAATTTTGGGAGTAGAAAAAAAAAGGTTGCAGCTGCGAATTTGTGTAGAGCGAGCGTCGGGTGTATACGCACTTTTTATTTTCCATTTATGGCACTATTGTGAGTGCGAGTTTTTTTTGGTTTCTAGTTTTTTGGATAAGATTGACAATAAAAAAATATATTTTTTAAGTATGTAATGTTATTCCACAAACTAGAATGATTGGCGCTCATGCGTGTTGGGCATAGGCACGTCCGCCCCTCTTTTGTAACTTATTTATACGGTCGAAATCTCTAACATATCAAAGGCTCCATTACTGGACGGACTTGCTGGCTTTGTTAGACCCTTGCAGCTGCGTGCATGTGTGTATTTTACTTTGTTGATTGCTCCTGTGGTCCTCCTGCACACTATGTTCTCGTGTTGAGGTCTAGGGTTCACTTTCATCTTCTGAAAAAGTGAGTAGCTACTGTTTACTCATGCTGTGGTTGCACATTTTCTTACGCCCTATTCACCGTTGAGTTTACTGTATGCAGATTATTTACATTGAGATTGGCCTAAAGAATAGCTTCTGATGAGTGGCACACGTTGTGCAGGATGGGGTGAGCAACTTGGGAGGTTGGTAATACAACCTGGAAGGAAAGTAGTATGGATGTACGTATTTAGGAATGCGTATCTGTGTGTGTGTGGGAAGTGGCGGTGTCGCGGTTGGCGCACTGCGCTACAAACCCGGAGGCCCGAGTTCGATTCCCGCTCACGGCCAAGACCACTGACCAATATCTGAACCGGTCCCTGGCCTCCCCTAGGTCGACTCAGCCTCAAATGAGTACCTGGTGTGATGTGTAAACATGACCACTGGGGAGACAAAGGCGGTCGGGCATGGTCCTGGCCACCCACCCCCTCGTGTGCCATCCCGGCCTTCATAGGTGCTACTCGCTAAGAGCACTTACCCCAACATTCTGTTAAGGCTATACGGGGGGTCTTTGTCGTGCACGCGGAACAGCGGGGAACAGTCGTCTTGTGGTTATCACGCTGTGCTATGGAACTGGTGATCCTTATTGGATTCCCACTCATGGGACAACACCATTGACGATTATCTGAACCAGTCCTGGGCCTCCCCTGGGTCGACTGGGCCTAAGTGAGCATGTAAACATCGCCACTAGGAAGACAAAGGTAGCTCGGCATGGTTCTGGCCACCCACCCCCTGTGTGTGCCATGCCAGCCTTCATAGGTGCTACTCTCTCACAGTCTCAGGCTATACGGGGGGGGGGGGGATCTTTGTGTGCAATCGCAGCCCTCACCACGCACCGCCCCTCCACGCTGGCGCTCGAGGAGCTGCTGCGGGGACAGCTGGAGCTGACGCGCGACTTCGTGTCGCGGTGCCACGGCCTGCATGCCAGCCTGGTGGAGGCACTAGCCCAGGAGCGATACCCCTACACCACGCTCGCCGAGACGCGACAGGCACGCACGCACGTCCATAGCACTGCAAGTCACAGCATCCGAGGACCTCAACATTCATTCGCTCATTTGTTCACACATTTGTTCAGATATGAAGTTACTTATTCATTCGTTAGTGTTTGTTAATTCACATGCTCATTCACATTCCATCACTCATTCTTTCACTCATACATTCGCTTACTCGTACATTAATTCACTCGGTGCATTCAATTGTTCACACATTTATAATTTTTTACATTTACTCATTCACATTCATTAATTCACTTGTCGCAGAGTACATCTAGTCAAAGTGAATTCCTGCAAAAATGAGCTTTGAGGCTGTGCTCATCTCCTGTTTAATCTCCTATTTAATATTATTATTCCAGCCCCGCAGAGCCAGTGGTGAAAATTCTGCATTGCTATGACGGAGACGATTTTATCCCTAGATAAACCGCCGTTAATTTCCCCATAAAGTGATACTCATCTTGGCGATCTTGAAGGGACGATGGAGTTGAGTCAACCCCTAACCATGATTTTAACTCGCAACCTTGTGATTGTGAGCCACTTGCTGTACCGCTGAGCCACTGATTAAGGCTAAGCATTGGTTTGAGTGCCAAGGACAATTAGCACGGTTGGCTACGGATGGCGCGAAATAAGTTCAAAATACATAAATTGCCACGTGTAAGAAAGTGTTAACTTGACAAAGATATGGATAGACTCACCCCCATCAAAGGAATCTCCACCACTGGCTCTGCGGGGCTCTAAACAGGAGGTGAGCATTGCCACAATGCTCATTCAGGCATGAAAACCAGTTAAGCCTGATGTACTATGAGAAAGTGAATTAATTTAAAGTGCAAAATTAGCGAATGTGAGTACATGCATGAATGTATGTATAAATAACATGATTTTGTGAATGAATTAATAAGTTAGTGTGCATAAAGGAATGAGCAAATGATCAAAAGGGCTGTGCTACGGGTACAAAGACGACTGACTACTACACGATCTTATCTCCTCCTCCCCTCTGGCTGACATTGCAGTTTCTGGAGCGGAACCGCCGGCCGAAGTTGACGATGGAGGAGGCGCAGGAGCAGGTGTTGCGTGAGATGCGGGAGTACCATTACTTGTGAAGAGCTTTTTGGAAAGGGTGCGGAGCAGAGGTCGCAAACGGGTTTTGATTCCTTACCCGTACCTGTACCCGGCCGCACCAGGGTCACAAACGGGTACCCGTACCCGGCCGTACCCGTACCCTACACCCGTACCCGGCCGGGTACGGGTATCGGGTACCTGATTGCGACCTCTGGGACGAAGCCATGTTGCAGGCGTGGGTCGGTTGATTCTAGGAACTTGAATTGTGAGAAGAGACAAGACGTTGGGAAATGAGTGACAAACAGTTACTCACCAGTGACTCACGGTCTACCCGTACCCGTACCCGGCCGCACCAGGGTCGCAAACGGGTACCCGTACCCGGCCGGGTACGGGTAGCCGGGTATTGGGTAGGGTACGGGTATCGGGTACCCGGTTGCGACCTCTGGTGCGGAGTAGAATCCCTACCCAACCATTTTGAAGGTGCTGGGTGCTAATGCTCACCCTCCCCCACCCCCTCCTATGTATGTTGAACTTCTTTCACACCGTACGTAGCCAACCGTGCTAATCGGAGGTGCAGGAGGACAACCCAAACAAAAAGGCAGTTCGAAAGAAATTGGTTTTCAATCTTAATTTAAAAGTGCATAGCTCCAATGGCTTGCTAATATCAGAAAAGCGTTCCAGATGGCTGCAGAAGTGCATCTGAAAGTGCACGATGCAGTGACCGTCTTTGTTCAACGGCGAGCCAAAAGCCGCTGCGAGATTGACTGGAGTCCGCATGATGGTTTATTTCCTCTTTGACGAGAACAGCAAAGTATTGTGGTTCAAACTTAGACTGGGTAGGTGAACAAGAGACTTTAACCCCCCCACCGCTAAAAATTCCTGTGGACAGGCTTACAGTTGGGCTACAATTTAACCATAAATAGTATTACCAAATAATTTTTACTATTCAGGTAATATATTTACTAGTTGACTCGTGGGCCGTGGTCACATCTGCGGCATTACAAACATGCTGCCTGCTTGCACATAATTGATTCTATGCTTTTATTACCATAAAGCAACTGGGAAGTTAACACTCTGTAGGCCCCATCCCTTCCTTTATGGCTCCATTGTCTCTTCATCCTCTTTTGGGCACCGTCACCTTTCCTTTTTTAGGAACCATGCCCCTCCTTGTTTAGGCCCTGCCTATTCCTCCCGACACACAGGTGGGTGGTTGGGGAAGGTGGGGAGTGAGTGTTTACAGCAGTGGTAGTCGTGGGCGGGGACCGTAGGCAGGGGTGGGACGGCTGAAGGACGCTGACCATAATTTTTAGTGCAGTAACAGAAATTGCAAAGGTAATTCAATATAGTTTACATCCAATGCATTTGCCGATGACCAAATCGCCTAGAATGTGCCCAATCTCATCAGACCTTGGAAGCTAAGTTGGGTTGAGCCTGGATAGTGCTCCGATGGGCAACCATCAGTTGCCCAGCTGGGCAGCTACATTGTCAGCAGAGGGCAATGTACTATGCTGTAATGTATATTACAGGTAGGAACAACATTTCCACACTGCCCACCAGGGATTATTTGTCTGTCTGTCTATCGTGCATAGCCACACCCTCGATTTGTATTTCATAGAGCGCTTCGGGCGGGCTCAGCACCACGTGACGCGCCGCCCCACCCCACGCAGCTTGCGCCGCGTGACACGGATCACACGAATGCGCTGTCCAACCAAGTTCCTACCTGCCCACTTCGAAGGAACGTGTTCTCTCTGCTTTCATTAGCGTGAGCTAGGGACAAACACAATCCACACGACTGATACAATGTGGGAAGGCCTTCATCCAGCAGTGGATTGACAAAGGGGCTATAATTTAATATTGAATTGCAGGATACATTCATTTACGCAGTGTCAAACTATTATTTTAAAAAGAATATATAGCATTATAGGGTTTTTTAACATTTAAGGTGAACTGCAATGTGTTTGTGTAAAAGTGTGGTATATAATTAAAACGTTCCAAACTGTTTTCTTAAATATTATTTATTTCTTTATGGCAATACACATACAAAGGAATGAAAATCCATAACCCGGGAATTCTTCAGGTCATTGAAGCATTTTAACCATTAAAGCATCAAATACACCTATACATGTAAAGCAACAATCCACTACAAAATTTTAAAAATACATTGTTACTCAAGCACGTATAAATAAAAATGCATAAGCAAAACTACCACCCAAGTTCTAGCGCTGCAGTACGAGTTATTATTCGTCGGAAATAAAAATAAAAACTTTTAGCTGTCCAATGCTCTGTCGGGATGTTCCATGCGTTGCTCGCCATGACGTCCGACGTTCCTCTCCCATGTGCTGCTACCTATTTCAGGAAGCGAACTGAAAGGTGAAAGCACATGGAGCAAAACGTCGGACATCACGCTGAACGGCACACGGTGCAACCCGAAAACACACCCTAGTGCTATGGAGCACAACCGAGAAAAACTATGTGCAGTGGTGCAACTCAAATTTTTACTTAACCAGGTAAGGCCCACTGAGTTATGTGGCTCTTTTTTTCAGAAGCGACCTGGCCACAAATGATAGCTCAACGAAGTGACTTATGTGGAAATTCATAGCAGCCAAATACTCTAAACGCATTATTCTGTGGAGGGAAAAACCGTAGGACCCAGAGAAAAAGCCACTTTTCCACGGGGAGAACATGCAAACTCCAAATATACAGGCGTCGCGGTCGGGATCGAACCCCACGACCTCCTGTATACGAGATGGTTAACATGTCGCCACAAGATGCAAACTCATCGTTTTAATTTTAGAATAAGAGCTCGCAAGCTTGAAATTGTCTTGCCAAAACGCATAAAACAAAATGTCAGAAGTGAAGGGCGATTCGGCCTTCCATTCACCATTCCATCCCTTCTTCAAGCCACGCACACCACCCATGATGGCTCACGGCACGCAGTGCTGCGTCCGCTTGTGCTGCGTGACGGCGTAGGGGAACATGAATGCCTTTCCGCAGATGTCGCACAAGAAGGGCTTCTGGCCGCTGTGCATTCGGCGGTGGTTGAGCAGGTGGTCTGAGCGCGTGAAGCGCTTTCCACACTCCTCACAGCCATACGGCTTCTCGCCCGTGTGCGTGCGGAAGTGTACACGCAGCTTCTGCTTGGAGCGGAACGCCCGGCCGCAGGCGTGGCACGCGAAGGGCCTCTCCGCAGACTCGTCGTAAGTCCACTGCGGTTGCGGGAAGCCGGCCTTCGTGGCTACCTCACTCAGATATGCCGGCAGGGCGAAGGGTGGGAGCCCGTTGCTCAGCGGGTCCGCGTTCCCGCCACCGCTACGGCCCTTCCCTCGCCCGCCGGGCACGCCCTTGCTGGAACCGGCGCTAGCCGATGCTCTCCGTCTGCTACGGAATCGCTCTGTAGAGCTGAGGGCGTCCAGGTCATCACTTGGCTTGCGACCAAGCCCGTAGCCCCTGCTCGACTTTTCGCTGGCAGTGGCCACGCCTCCCCTTGGCTGGTCGTCGTCGTCGTCATCATCGTCGTCGTAGTTGTCGCTCTGCGTGATGCCGTACGCGTCGATCGCGCCGTACGAGTTGATGTCCCCATACTTGTTCACCTCCTCGTAGCAGCTGGCTTTTTCATCGTCTAGGGGGAGGTCACACTGGTGCTGCTGCTGCGGAAGCAGAGGTGGCTGAGGAGGTGGATGATGATGCGAGTTGTCCTCGTTGTTGGCAGTCGTCGCATCCTGGGAGCGTCTCGACGTCAAGGCGTCATCGCCTTTTTCATTCGGAACCCAGGACTTGTCGCAGGGCTTATCTGTGGGGAACAGGGGATTTGATTCAAGCAGCATCGTTTACCGTGTCTTGCATGTGTCTCGTTCGTGTCATCTCATTAACCGTCTATAAGGTGTATCACAATTCACCTACCCACAAACCCCTGCGAATTTAGGATGTTGAGACGTGTCCTGGAAAAACTTGATAACCCAAACAAGTCAGCTGTCCACAAAGCAGGCTTTTGCTGAGAGTAGGCAGATTTAGTGGATGATAAAATGTGAACTATTCAGTTCATATTGCGTGGTCAACTCTCAGGAGGTGATGCAATCCAAAACTATCAAAAGTGCATTGTAAAGTGTTCCAATGAAGCCAGCATGGGCTATCGTAAAAAAATATATATGCTTAAATGTTTATGTCCTTACCTTCCATTCCCATCTCTACTTTAACTTCGTTTGTATCCTCTTCCTTGTGGCTTTGCTGTTCCTGCGACTCTTCATCTGAACCCTCCACCCACTGCACATCCTTGTAACCTGCAGAGAAGAACCGGTCAACAATGGGCGAGCAATGATTCACGTTTCGGGTGGAAACTCTTATTCCACCTTCAAATTTTCTCAAATACCCACGACTTGAGTCATTTTCCACCCGATGATTATTGATCGTCAGATCTCATCAGCTAAGCAGGATTTTTGTGCCTGGATATTTCTTGGGATGGGTGACCACCACGCACGCCAGGTAACCATCGGCATCTGGGGGGCTCCGCTGTGTTGTGTGCAGCAATATCTTTTGTTGTACTCTGCTAGGGTGCTCCTACGTCTCTGCTCAAGTATATTCACCAACCCTCACTGACCAGAGTGGTGAAGTATGGACAGTTAATCCTCGCGACACACACGCTGTGGGCAGGCCCGTCTTTCAGCAGTGGATTAACAATGCCTGTAAATGTTTGCGTTGCATTAAGACAATGTTTCTAAGCCAATTTCCTGTTATGGAGGAAATCTGACAATTTCTTTGTAATGAACAATGGGGAAAACTGTCAATTCGTTGTGTGTCGGCCATTTCATCAGCATGAGAAATTGCACTTTAAGCTGTAAACTGCACAGGTGCACAGATCCAAACATCCCAATATAGGACCACGAAAGCTTGGGCAAATATTGGTGCCGGTTCTGGCCGGCTTCCCGCTTGTCTGTAGTATCCCACGTATCCGCAAGAAAACTGCGCATTTCAAATTCTACAGTGTTTTTAGATGCAATCTGCATTAATGACGCTAAATATACATAATGGACCTTGCGCAAAGTCACCTGTGTATTTACCTTCGTTTTCCATCTTTAATTCTTTCCAAACTCCATCGCCGGTCTGGACGAAGATCGGAGGGCTGTCCCTCGGCATTTGTGGTGAATTGCTCTGAGAAAAAGCTGGTTAAAAGAACAGAACCATAGTTATGTAGGCAACCCAAGAGGGAAGCCATGTTTACAAACTGGTAACAGCCTTGGGGAAAAAAATGCAACGAAAGTTAAGTTGAACTTGCCGAGTGGCTCAGAGGTCAAAGTGCAGAGTCGGCAGTATTGAGATCCTGTGCTCAATTCTGGGCAGCAATCTGACTCGTCCGGGGTTCCCAAGTCTCGTGGGTTCATGGTCTCACCAATGGTTGTACAAAACACATCTTTGGTTCTGCACTTAATTAGGCTAATTCTAGCTCTGAGAATGAAATATTGGGTTTGATTCTCATGCAATTGTAGCGGCATCGTTGAGCGCTGTACGCGATTGCCACGACTTGTAGCCTGTAATAACGGCCTCGAGTCAACAGGGAGCAGAAGGGAGTCTAATAAGGGTGATGAGTCAGGACGTTGGGCAAAGGTAACCCTAAGGCAGCTCGGGACCACAGGTACAAACCCCCAGACCCCCAGGAATGGGGCTGGGGGATAACGTCACTCCCCAGGCCCTTCTAGACGGTTCCAGAAGGGAGGAGTGGCTCGGGGCGGAGTGAGCCAGAATCCAGTATAAAAGACGGTCCCCTGAACGGGACCGGCAGTCGTGGTCAAGCCGAAGACCCGAAGACCAGCCAGAATAGGACCCTAGGAACCCCCGGACACGAAGTCCTTGTCAGGGCCGGGACCGAGTGGGCCAGTGGTCGGGACCTGAGGACCTAGGCTGAGTCGGGTCAGGCTAGCCTCCCCTCGGTCCCCTTAGACGGAGGGCTGTAATATAGAGAGTGGTCCCAGTGATTAGGACACGCTAGCCCGGAGGCGATGCCTCCCCAGGGTATCGGGTGGAAGGGGCCGATACCCCTTTGTGTCAGGGACCTTGTGTTACTGTTATAAATAAACGTGTTGCCTCCAGAGAAGATTTGGTTCCCATCCTTACCCACTACACAATGAACATTATTATCTGCAGCAGAGTGGGTGGGGACGTGTTGTCTCCTACTTCTAGATTTGAAGCTTTCGTGACTGCAAGGATTCATACTCTTAGGTTTTTTCGGTAAAGTCACGTAGGTAGAAATAAATAATAAAAATAAATAATAAACTGAAAGAAATAATAATAGAAATAAAATAATAAATCACGACGTTTCGGGCGCAACACAAGCGTCCGTCATCAGGTGGGACAACCACAGCAAGAAACAAATGCTTACCTACGTGACTTTACCGAAAAAACCTAAGTGTCTCCTACTTTTTGGACCAGAGGTCAATTTAAAGGATCTCGTGTAGCTCTGTAATATCCGCTTCTCTGGACCGTTTCTGACATGAAGGGTTGCACTTCTCTGCAAGAGATTCAAATGAATTATTTATCTTGCGATGTCGATAGAAGAATTGTAATAAAATTGGGGGAAAAGACAAATAGTTTATAAAATGACGAGTTGACTAATGTAAACTTATTGACAGACTGGTAGATAAATACAGCATCTTGTTTTATCTTCATTGAAAAGTAATGGTTAAAGTTATACACCTATTGCGAATATAACCAGCACAATCGTGATTGGTCGTTGAGTTTGGATCTATCTATGGCAGAGCACCCTCCACCCGCTCTCCCCCAGTTGTACAATGAATTGCCATGATACAGTGTCATGACTCAATTTCAACAAAGGATTATTTTATCTTGTTTGTAATTTTGCTTTCCCGAATGCAAAGTTTTTGCTGTTGGCTTAAATGTAAAAATAGCAAGATTTGCCTATGATTTTCACTATTTTTATAAATACAGAAGCTGGTAGAAGCGCACCCCCATTGGAAGTAAGGTACGGGTGTAAATAACCACAAAAAACTGTT